TATACCAATAATCACTAACGCTTGTTCTAAACAAAAGGTGATAACTTATTGGGTATACATGATCATATAACTTTAATGTGGATTACACGGCCTAGGAACTGGTTTGCTGAAGTCGTGTTTGGTTCCCAGAATCTTTTGACAGGAGAGCGTATAGTATGGGAACTAGCCTTCACATTATGACCTTAATAAAATAAATATGTTTTAAGGTAATTAGTACGTTAGAATGTCAATTCATCAGACAACTGGGTACTTATATTCTCCCATTACTTTCATAAAGTGACAGTTCCACTTGAAAGTTAATGAAAACTATTTTCGAGTCAAGATAGTTATAAACTAGGGAAAAACTTACATCTTTTCAAACGACAAACAGAACAGTCAGGTCTAGTACATTCAGTAGAAAGGTACCATAATGTTTACCTTATTATTCCTTAATGTATACATCAAATGATATATATTAATAGGTTCCGATAGGTAATAGGATACGTGCTTTCCGCTTCATTTCCTGTTTCTTGTTTGGTTGTGGGCTTAGAGCGGATTCACCCAGCCTATTATCCATTCGATCTTAGTTATATATATATGTTCCGTATACATTAAATCATCATAAGGGGTACCAGGAATGAGTCAGGTCATAGGACACTAAATCAATGCACAGTTTTCTAGTACAAAACATACTTTTCAAATCAGAACTTTTGGTATATAAAACTAGAAACTTACCAGTAAAGGGTTTAATCCATTTTATTAAACCATCATTTTAAAGGACCTTAGGTAGTTAAATATATAATACCTTAGTTTATACATCAAAGGTTATATATAATTAATATCCAATAGGTAGTTGGATGTGTGCCTTCCACCTCATTCCTTGTTCCTTGTTTGGTTGTGGGCTTAGGGCAGATTCACACAATTAACTATCTATTCGATATTGGATTATATATAGCTAGTATAGACTAAGTGATTATAGAAGGAAACATTGTGGTTACTATTTTATTATAATAAATAAGGGTTTTCTTAAAGAATCTTTTCATAAATTATAAAGAAACTATTACAATTAACTCCGTGAGTACCAAGGGAATACACTAGGCTTATATACAACAAGGATCGAACAACCAATGGGATATGTGTCATCCGCCTCATTTCCTATTCCTTGTTTGGTTGTGGGCTTAGGGCAGATACACATAATCGATTATTTGTTTACTCTGAGTTTTATATAACTTGTATCCATTTAGTACTCATAGAAAGGATTGTAGAGTCATTTTTACTTATCTTTCATCAAAGCAGGAAATATAGGATTTTCTTGAGGAACAGACAAACTTTTCTAAATCATAACTTACAACTTACTAAACTTTCTACAACATACTTATATCACTAAATTCTTATGAACTCACCAACTTAATTGCTAATAAACTCTTTCAAATAACTTGTATTCTCAGGAAACTAGTAGTGTAACGCCCGCGTTTCCAGGCTAGGCATTTTCATTGATGTAATAGTCTAGGTTAACCTTTGTAACCCGTTTTGAAATAATAAGAATGTATTATTTGTGAATTATGTGTTTATTTTCTTAATTATTATAATTTAATGAATTAAGAATAAATTAAGCATCAAAATTAAAGTATGAAATAAGCCCGATATCATTGCATAAAGTTGTAGTGGCCGAAACGAGGTTTCCGTATATATATAGAACGCCCAAATCTGACTTCGTATGAGGAAGTTATGATTTTCTGAAGTTTCGACTTAGCGGTATGCAGCCCGAAATACTTGATTTGAGATCGAGCGGTTTTTAGCCGAAACAATCTAAATGAGAATCGAAGGTCTCGTTAATAGTAGTAAAACGATGAAAAGTTAGGCGAGAACGGACGTCAGACGAAGAAGTTATGAATTTATAACGAAGTTTTCCTGTACCGGCCTACTAAAAATAAATAATAAAAATAAAGTCAAAATTAGCCAACGGAGTCTAAATGAAAGTTGTAGAGCGTAGTCTCACCTACGCTTGGATATAAAGAACGTTGAAAACGGAGTTCGCATGAAGAAGATATGAATTTTCAAAGTTTATTAAATAATTAATATTTAAATTTAATTATTTATTCCGATATTATCCGAAGAGGAGTCACCGGACTCATCCGAAGTACGCCCAGCGTACCGCGAAGCATAACGCACCTCACACTCGAGTTCTTCGAATGATGCATGCAGTGACGATTTCGGAGGCTTACGCCCCGCGTAAGGCTGTACGCCCAGCGTACGGCGAGGCCTTAGCCTCCTATAAATAGGATGCGAGGGTTCCGGACATATTTGCTCAATTCTTCTTTTGTCGTGCCGAAGCTCTGCGTGTGAACCCCCGAAGCCATCCCGACACCCCGGATCTCATATCCAAGTTAAGAAGGAAGTTCTATGCTCCCGAGATCCCGAGAAGTGCGATTCCCGAGCCGAAGCTCTGCCCGCGAGGAGTTCGATTTTTGTGGAGATCTTCCAAATTTGGCGAAGAATACTACTTCTACAAGTCGTAGTGCTGTCCGATCATCTTCTTATCAAGTGAGTGTGTGATTACTTTCTTATAACGCATAATTATGAAGTATTTTATACGAAATACGTGCTATGTGTATATTTTGTGTTATATGTGTGAATGTATATTCACTTTCTTCTATCTCATAGATACGATTTATTCTTTATGAAATACGTGTTATGTGTATGTGTCTCATCTGTTGTTTGGAATATGTATTGAATGAGAATGTTATACAGGTTTTAAACTATGTATAAAAATATATATATTTTTATCTACTAATATGTCGTGTAAAACATGGGTAGATAGTTTTGTGATAAACAGATGAGAGGCCTCGATGTTGTTTTTGATTCAGTCATCTAGCGGAGTTTAGATGACGACCACAGACTTTTCTAGACAGTCCTGTGGAACGCTAGCAGGTTTGCCACTTGTAGGTGTTAATGAACTTGGGTGTTCATTCGCGGTACTCCATCCCCCTCATGGTTGCCTTATTTGACATATATTGCCGGGAAACCCCCGAATGCATGTGTTGTCACCCCGATCAAATATTCTAAGACTAGGTCCCTTGTGTTAGTTGTTTTAGGGACGTAAAGTGAGAATAACGAGAATGGGTAATTAGGTTATTGTTGGTTGGTGGAATTAAATATAATTATTTATTGTGGGTTGAAAACCCTATATGCTCACCAGGCTCCCAAGCCTGACTCACTCAGTTTTATTTGTATTACAGGAAGTGGTGCAAGGGTATAAGATGGATGAATCATCAAGTTATTTTGTTTACAAGTCTGTATATGTATATATTGGTTGAATGACTTGTAATGTTATCGTTTATGCTTTATGGTCTGTATCGGAACATGACATCCTGAGTTTTGATTATATAATGAAAATACATTTCTTTTATGAAATGCTTTGGTAAATATTATTTTATCACGTTTTATTTTTGGGAACAAATTCCGCAACTCTTTCAAATCAAAAGGATTACTCTGAAATTATTTTAAAAGCATAAATGAAAAATCGGTCTTTTCTGGCCGAGATTTTGGGAATATCACAAGTAGACAGGTACTCGCGCTGGGAATTCAGAAGATGGAGCAGTATAGCTTCAAGTCTTGTTTTGTTATTTACTTATGTATTATATGTTTTGTGAACACACACTTTGTAAACACTTTCTTTCTAATGAAATTGTTGTTTATTTACTTTGATTACTATGATGCATGTCTTGTGATACTAAACATGACGTCCTCCACCCCGAACGTTTCCGCCGTTCCGATTTTGAGGTGTGACATTACAGGTAGTGGCACGAGAACACAAGTGTGGTGTTATAATGAGCGATTTAAGGATGCTTATAGGCCCATAGTTTATATAAACTAGTATAAGGCCTGTATTATTTCCGTTTATATTTATGAATTGTATTGACAATTACATCCTAACGCTTTCAATATACTCAAAATATTTCTTCGGAAATGTTTTGATAATATTATTATCATATTTTTGGGAACAAATTTCACAATAATAATCTTTAAAAACAATATTTTGATTTTAAATAAATATAAATAAATATGTTTTTTTCTGTCCATGAAATTTGGGGATGTCACACTAGATTATTTTTTTTTTTTTTTTTTTTTTTTTTTTTTAGCTTAAGAGAATAAGGAATGAGAAGACAATCAATATAAGGTAATAAACTTATACTTGGAATCGATGCGTCCTAAACACACTTCAGATGAGTTGTCTTCCATGGACAAGTTTTATCCACATAAGATAGCCAAAACCGGTTAGCCTGCTAAATTGCTTCCGAATGACTTAATTGCAAGTCAAATAAAACTTAATAACCTCTTGCAAAAAAAAAAAAAAAACCCCTAAGACCAGAGGCCAAACATTAATGAGTTATAATGACATTTTTCCACTTTTGAAACAATAAAGATCAAATATTGTAAAATATTATGATCCATATAATATTTGGAAAATGATTATTGAGGGTAATTAACTGTTGCGTTTATTCTTATTTGGTCTTTTTTTTTTTTTTTTCTGTATTCAAAATACCATCGAACTTATTGTTTGCGTTCACCATAACCTTTGACCGGTTATCATAGGTCAAAAATCGGTCAAAAGGGTTATGGTGAACACAAACAACAAGTTCGATGGTATATTGAGTAAAAAAAAAAAAAAAAAAAGACAAAATAAAAACAAGCACAATAGTTAGTTACCCTCAAGAACCATTTTCCCTATAATATTTTATCATTTTTTTTAAGGGCTTCCTAAACTAATGACAGATGTACTAAAATTGTTGATGCTAATTGCCAACTGATGCTTAAAATATATGACATTTATAACATTGACCTTTAATACCGTACTATTGATTCTGATCTATAAAATTATTTTACTTTTAGTTTACCTGTTAAACATGAAATCATTAATCTAATAATATTATTAAAAATAAAAAGTAAAATATAACAAATTGTCAATTCAAAAATAATAATATCACATTCAACCCAATATTTTTATTAGTTGAATAAACTTTGATTGGGTGCATCGTGCATTCAATTGTTCCCGTTGATTGTTGGGAGTCATAATAAGTACCGTTGACGCAGGGAAATGGCCAAGAGGCAAGGGCCGCACCAACCCCACTCTAGTTTCCTTTTCTTCCTCAACAAAACAAGAAACTGCCAAGAAAAGTCCCAATTTCATAATCTCCTCATGCGTGTTTGTGTTTGTGTTTGCTTTCGATCATCGACTTATCTGCATCTGTAGCAGCAGCCGGTATTATATAAATCATTGATGATGTTTACCTGTATATGGTTATGTCACACACCCTTCTTTGATTATTCCGATTCACATTAAAATATACACTACTAGTATTAGTTTTATATGATTATATTTAAAAGAATCAATATTTTAATCTCCATAGACTTTTTTCTTACTTTTCCCCCTTCCTTGTCCCCCTGTTAGTTGAGCTAGATCTAATGTTGGTTTTAAGTCCGGTGAGGGTTTTCGAGAGATGTTGTGAACTTCCCTTTTGGTTTTGAGTCTGATTTGCTTCTTTCTTGCCTTCCATGTGTTTGTAGAAAGTTCTCACAGAAAGATTTTCGGATAGACGCATACGAGTAACATATCTGCACCCATCATCAGATTACTGGAGGGTTTCGAGAATTTCTTTTGTTCGCTTAAGGTAGAGGCGTATAGATCTCTGATCTTGCATTATTACTCATAATTTGTTCGTTATTTACTGTAATTTGAACCCAATATGGGTTTTTGGATGAGAAAGAAATCGAAAAAAAAAAAAACAAACAAAATTTCCCCCTTTTGTAATCGACATCTTTATTTCATCGGTGATTCCGCACGGAAAAGTTTGTGGTTTTGATTTCATGGGTTTTATCTCTCGGTTGACATTTTGCTTATACTTTCAAATGGATTCTTCAGATAATCAGATCTTCGTCGCAAGCTCTTACAGCGCTGATTCGATGGTGTTGTAGCTTTACCATAATCAGGTTCGTTTTTCGAGTGTTGTTTCCTTTTTCTTTTTCTAAATTCAGTTCTTTCTCACTTTTCACAGTCGTACTTTGATGATATTCGTTTGGGAAACATGAGAATCTACTTGATTCCCAGTTTCCGAAACAAGAACAAGAAAAAAGCAAATATCAAAATCCCTGGTAACTTTAATTCAACCTTTTCATTGCCAAAAACCCTTCTCCCCTTCTAAATTCGTATAATTTATATCCATAGAAGACCAGTTTCACTCACATAAACACGTGATGACGGATGAAAGGGTCAAAACTTCAAAACTTTGTAGTTCTTAGGATTCTTTCGCCGATTAATTCCATAAATTGACTAACTTTAAATTGAAACCAGAAAGCATATGTTTTAAAAATAGAAAAAGTCTAGTCCCTGATAAAGTTACACCATGTGAAACCTTCTTTTCTTCTTATCTCTTTTCTTTTTCTCCACTTTTTTAATCCCACTAACACTTCTGATTATTACACATCCAGATTCAAATGTCAAATCTTTTCTCATCTCCATAAAAACCCTACCCCCCTTTCATTCCATCTTCCCAAATGTCGTTCCGGAGTATAATGCGTGATGTAAGAGATGGATTCGGGAGCATATCAAGGCGCAGTTTTGATGTGAGAGGAAAATCTCAAGGATCTGTAAATGATTCAAGTGATAATCAATCCTCCATTGTTGTCCAAAACAGTAGGTGGGCTAATCTCCCACCTGAGCTTCTCTGTGATGTGATTAAAAGATTGGAAGAGAGTGAAAGTACTTGGCCTCAAAGAAAACACGTCGTCGCTTGTGCTGCTGTTTGTAGATCTTGGAGAACCATGTGTAAAGAAATTGTCAGAACCCCTGAATCCTCCGGGAAACTCACTTTCCCAGTTTCCTTAAAACAGGTATTTAGTATTTATAAATTTATAATTAAGTTGATATTTCTTGCATTTCGTCTCATGATTTTTTTTTTTTTTTTTTTTTTACCTATTCAGCCGGGACCCCGTGACACTACTATTCAGTGTTTCATTAAGAGGGACAAATCAAATCTGACATATCATCTTTTCCTTTGCCTTAGCCCCGGTGAGCTTATAATTGGTTGATATAAATTTTTATTTTTTTTTTTAATTAAAAAAGTTACTGAAATTTGGTTTTTTACAGCAGCTTTACTGGTTGAAAATGGTAAATTTTTACTATCAGCTAAAAGAACTCGGAGAACTACTTGCACTGAGTATGTTATATCCATGGATGCTGAGAACATTTCGAGATCAAGTAGCACTTATATTGGAAAACTCAGGTATTTATTTATTTATTATTTTTTATTATTGAGTAAAAGAGAAATTGAATTTATTGATTTGATATTTCAGATCTAATTTTCTTGGAACGAAGTTTATAATCTACGACACACAGCCTCCGCATTCCGGGGCTTCGATCCCGCCACCTGGCAGATCGAGTCGAAGATTTTACACCAAAAAAGTCTCGCCGAAAGTCCCGAATGGAAATTACAATATTGCCCATATCAAATACGAACTCAATGTACTCGGTACACGGGGTCCGCGTAGGATGCACTGCATCATGCACTCGATTCCCACGTCAGCACTCGCGCCAGGTGGCACCGTGCCAGGTCAGCCGGAGGCCCTCCTTCCTCCTCTTTCGAATTCCCTATCGGATTCTTTCCGTAGTATTTCCTTCTCGAAATCCCTCGACCGCTCTACTGATTTCAGCAGCTCGCGGTTTTCCGAAATCGTCGGTGCCGCCATGTCGAACGATGTCCCGGACGGTGAAAAGTCGAAAATGCCCTTGGTGTTGAAGAACAAGGCGCCTAGGTGGCACGAGCAGCTGCAATGCTGGTGTTTGAATTTCAAGGGGCGGGTGACGATTGCTTCTGTGAAGAACTTTCAGTTGATTGCCGCCCAACCGCCGGTGGTGGCTACGGTGGCTCCGCCACCTTTGTCGTCTTCTCAGGCTCAGGCAGGGGGGCAGCCGGAGCATGAGAAAGTGATATTGCAGTTTGGTAAAGTTGGGAAAGATATGTTCACCATGGATTATCGTTACCCTTTATCAGCATTTCAAGCTTTTGCTATATGTTTAAGCAGCTTTGACACCAAATTAGCTTGTGAATAGAATAAAGAACAAAAAAAGGAAAAATTAACTCTAGGGTTTTCAGATGAATGAATGAAAATGGGTAAAGAAAGCAAATTGGAATGAATGGCTTTCTTTTGTTGTCCAACAGTTGTTATTGAGACGTTATTGTGTTTTTGAAGTAAAAGAAAAAAAAAAATCTTAATAAGCCCAGATTTTCGTTGCTTCGTTTTGTATATGGATATATATTTTCATTACATCATATTGCGTTAAGTTTAATACTAACTAATTTTACTAAAATGTCTTTTGAGATGAGTTGTAAGTTGTAACTTGTTTAAATTTCCAAAAGATAAGTTCGGTTTTATAGGTTGAGTGTCATGTCGACTATTTAAGACTTGATTGTGATGTGTATTTAATAAGATTGGGACCAATGAATAGGACTAATCTTTTGAAACTTAGGACTTGATATGGACTGGTTAAGGATTAGGATAAAAACTTGTCTTCAAAAAATTATTATGTCGAGTATTTTCTGGAATTTGTAGAAATTAATAAGTACTAATTTAAAAGATAATAAGGCTAAACGGCCTCGGGGTTGATGTAGACCTCAGGGTCAGTTCGGCTACGCCATGGTAGGTTGGTGCTCGGGCCTCTAGCTTGAGGAGGTCGAGTGGAAAGGCACCGAACCCTTCTCCCTTCATTTCTTTTCTGTATTTCTCTTCTAGTTTTTTTCCCTCGTACAATAAAAATTTGTATCACTAGCTTAGGACTTGTATTTTTTTTTTTGGTGTGGGGTGTGAGGAAAGTCTGTATTCCAAAGTGAAAAAGGGTGTGGTTTGCTAATTAGGGATGAGCATAGGCAAGTACCCGTTTCATTTGACGAAAACCGGAACGAGCGGTTCCTAGAAAGATAGAACCGGAAACGGAACCGCTCTAGGCAGTTCTTAAATTTTTGGAACCAGTCCCAGAACCGGCGGTTCTAGTTCCCGGAGCGAGTAACCCGGTTACATAACTTTGTTAGTTTTCGTCGATAAAACCGCAACTTAGTTCGATCCAAATCGAATCAATTCAGACCAAAGAGGGACAAAATCGGATCAATAAATTCTAAACTGGTCTAAGTAACACACACACACACACACACACACACATATATATATATATATATATATATATATATATATATATATATATATATATATATATATATATATATATATATATATATAAACTGGTTTTGGCGGGTACCCAGCGGGTAGCCGTTCCAAAAAATGAGAATTGGAACCGGATCCGCTTAAGGCAGTTCTAGTTCCAAAAGCGACAGTTCCAAGGCAGTTTCGGTTCCAAAAGCTTGTACCTGGTTCCGATACTCATCCCTAATGCTAATGTGACGTTGATGTGGAGCTTAGGGGTGTGGGGAGAGAATAGCCTAAAGCTATAAAGCTATAGATACAATATGGTATGCTCACATCCCACACAATTGACCTCCACATATAGCTCCATAACTCGATGCCTAAGCTCGAGCTTGCACTGATGCGGTGTGCCTGAGTTCCACGTCAACAAGCAAACCCCTTTGGGGTATATATCGTTAGGAGGTGAGTATTTGGATCAGACCGACTCTTGGATCGAACCGATTTTGCAGAAATTTATGGATCTTAGAGTAAATCTGTTGAGATATACTAGGTATAGATCGACAGTTAAGAGGTTCAAATATTCACCCCTATCTACCATATTGAGAGATGCAAACCAAACTAATTTTTTAACATCTATAATGAAATACCCTTTATTTTGTGAAATGGAAACTTTTACTTGAAGGGATACGTGCTTAAAAAATGATTAGGACAACCAAATGACATCGAATAAATTAAAGTATTTTTTTAAATGCTTGCATCTAACGAAATACGTTTATTGTTTTGTTTCATTAAAACAGATAACCAAAAGGTAATCGAAAATTACCTACTAACGTCTTACTTTAATTTTAATACAATTTGAGACTTTTACTTCCATTTTACATTTAACATTTCCTTAATATTTCATAATAATGTTTTTCTTGGCCATTGGTTTAATAAGCTTTATGGTGGATATCTAGATTCTGAGTAAATCGTATAGTTTTTTCTAAATCGTATAGTTTTTTCTACCTTATGCATCGCTTACAGGAAATTTAGTGTAGGATAATACAAATTGACCCTTACGAATCTAGGCACGGAAACATAATACAAATTATTAGAAGAATTCTGATTTCGTCAAGGAAAAATGAGAGCTAAGAGAAAGGTATTACGATCATAGAAAAAAGTCATATTTATACTTGACAATTAGGGTTACCATCTTCTGAATTAGTCAAGTAATCCTAGAATTAATGACATGATATATGGTTTTCAAAACTGACAAATAATTTGCTAATTTTACCATAATCACCTAATATACTTGACAATGAGGGTTTCAGCGGGACCACCAGGGCTTTGCCCCTAGAACCCTACAAGGGGACGCAACTCCCTTGATCCGCACCATTTTGTCACACCAACTTATAGTTCGATCTTATATATGCCTGCACTCCGCACACACCAAAAATATAATATATATATAGTACACATTATAAACCTCTTAGCTCGCATATTAGTTTCAATTACACGAAATGTCTGGTGACACTAAAGTCATCAATAATCATCCATCATTTTAGTGTAACTCATGAACTAACATAATATTAATCTAAACAAACCAAACCAGTATTTAAATGAAAATATCAAAAACAATTGAATTTTCATCTTAGTATCTTACTCATTTTAAATACTCGAGTAACAGGGTATTCTAAGAATTGAACAATTTAACCTAATTAAATACCTAAGATAAAATACATACTAGTTTATTGTACCTCTAACAAAATACAACTTGACACTATTATAAAGTCGTGTGTCCTAATCCTCTCATGAGTGTATCAAGTCCAAGCCCCCATACATTTCATAATGACATAGGTAGTTCCTTTACTTCATTATCTGCACATACATTTTATCAAAGGAATTATCAAGAAGTTAAATATTAACATGGTTAACTGTAGAACCGAACACATACGTGGGATGAATGCTTTATGTGTTCCAATCTATAAGTGTGAGATATACATATCGAACTCAACTCCTAATGTCATATTAGAAAGGAATTTGGTGTCTCATCATTACAAAATTAGATGGACTTTAATCTCATCCCAATTATAGACTTGTTCACTAAGTTTTTTGTTAGACCTTTAGTTGGGTGGTCTGCCAAATTTTGTTGCGATTTCACAAACTCAACCGAAATCACACCATTGATGATTAGTTCACTAATCATACTATGTCTAACACCTAAATATCTATATAAACCTAGCTATATGCCTTAGTCAAGGTAACAACATTATCACAAATGATATAAATAGGTGTTATCGGCTTTGACCTGACCACAATGGAAGCTCATAGACTAAATTCCTCAGTCGCTCTGCTTTTTTACCAGCAAGAACTAATACAATAAACTCAGATTCCATTATCGAGTTTGTGATGCATATTTTCTTCTAGGAAGTCATGTAAATGAAACCTCCCCAAGCAAGAATACTCAACCTATGGTCGATGAATGATCCTCCATATTGATTATCCAACTTGCATCAGACTCGCCCTCTAAAAACGAAAGATATCCTAAGTTCAAAAATAAATAAATAACGCATCTAAACACCCTTAAGTTCAAATACCAGGTCCTTGATATGTGATCGGTTAATGTGGAGCATGCAATCGAAAGAAAAAAAAAACAAACACAGAGAATTAACGTGATTCGGTTGATGTGACATATGATCTCTTTATTATCCAACTGATTCGAAGTGATACATTGAAAAAACCAAGTTACGAGTATTATAATCGAAAACCATAACAACTATAGGGTCGAGAAATCCAGAATAACAAAACACGTTCATACCCCCCATGCGATAAGTGTTTCTCATATAGATTAAGGTCTAACGTCCCTCAATCCACTCCAAACATTTATCATTTAAAATCACCATTTGGGATTTTTCATTTCATTGAGAATGGTTTCTTTCATTTCGTTTCGGATCGAGTTATTTATTCGGATAACAAAAATTCAAGCCACTAGTTAAGACATTGGCATCTCTATTTATAGGTTTCTGTTATGCTATCATAGGTGGTTGTTCCATTTAGGAGCATATTTACCTTCTTTATATAAACGAAATCAATATGAGTTGTTATTCCATAGTCGAACACACCAAACAAGTAAAATAAAAAATGTGTAAAATGATAGAACGATATAATGCTCCATCAAACATATGTGAGTACGTATCTCTAACCTTCTCAATTGATTTATTAAAAAATATTGGGCCTTTATTTTAATGGTAGTTTTTGTTCACATTCAAATATTAACTTTGAAAAAGAACAAGGAAGACCTAACTCAAAGTTGTTACGTTCAAACATAAATATACCACCGTTCTTTTGGCCACCACACAATACTTATAATTATCAATAGAAGAATTATGTAACCCACAATGTCAGCATTGACAAGGAGGTGGTATTGCCTACTGCTTTAAAGATGGATTTCATTATTTTTAAAATACTCTTTAACGATCGATCAATTATTATTGATGATTCTATCCGACCCACCTAAATTGTCACTTATGATTCAAAAGGACTTGATTGTCATATCCTTTAAGTGTTTGATATTGAGGTGAAGGCTATTATTGTAAGGCAATGAATATGGTAGGCCACATGAGCCCGTCTTCACTAATGCAACATTAATCAAAGGGGTTACCCACCTCCATCTTGTGAAATAGTTTGATAAGAGAAAACGAACATAAAATTATTTTCTTTTGAACAACTCAATGATTATACATAAATAAAAGCTAGAAAAAAATTACATATGGATAACCTCCTCAATATTAAGAACCCACGAGACTCAACTAATTTAATTTACTATTCCTATTCACAAACCAAGTGAACGAAAATTTACCAATTGCTGTAAAAAGTGAATCACATCTCATCATTCGCGTCCCAAACAACAAGTTACGAAAGTACCAAATAATCCAACATGTTAATTGTTATCATTGTTATCGCATCCACTGCATTACATTTCATACCCGAGAAATTTAATAAGTCAATCCACTCAAAAGAATTCAGTCAAATGGGGCACAACGAGAAAGAGACTTCTACACCTCTATCCATCAAGTTTGCACACAAATACACTTTATCAAATGAGTTCTCCAAACAAAATGTTTATGTTTTTGGGTTGAATCTATTCGGTCTTGTGATCACCGAACTATTAGGCTGATTTATATCATCTATAGTTTTTTTTTTCT